ATCAGGCATAGAAATATGCGCAAACCGGTCCCTGGTCAATACATTCACTCCCCTGATTTTAGTGGGAACGTTCTAAAAAGTACCTCTTTTTGGGAACCCCTAAAATTTTCACTACAAATTTGAAAATTATTTTTTTGAAAGGTCAATTTGTTTAGTTTTTCCATGCCATTTCCGGGGATATATAGCATTTTGGGGTTCAAATTCAATTTTAAGATTTCCAAAACTCGCTGTATATATAGGCGTGACGCAAAATTGACAATTTTTATCAAAATTGTCCTGGAGCATCACTTGTCGAACTACCTTTCGCCATGATATTTTCAATGTTAAATATTTAGACTACTCAGAGAAATTGAACAGTGTAAACATGAATGTGTTCATTGTATTCCTCCCATTTACACTGAAGTTGTTTCTTCCCAGTGTGAATCGTCATTTTACACTTTGATTTTGCAAGTTCAGTGTAAAATGATTTTGCGTGAAAAAAACTATTTTTTTTAAATTATTAAATTTTTTTCATGTTTTTATTTTATTGTTAAATATCCAATGAAAGATTTAAAACTTAATTTGGTTTGATATTGATTCAATTTGTAGTGATTTTTTGCTCTATAAAAAAATTAGCATTTCGATGTAAAAAACACAAACAAAATTCATCTCTCATGTTCATATTTGGGATAATTTGTATTATTTTTTCAATATTTAATCGATTTTGTACATTGAAAGAGACTAAACAACGATTAAAGTGTTTTTTTATGCATGAAAATGTGCGACGGTTCATTTGAAAAACACACACTCTGCACAAGTAGTCATATAGTTTAGTGCAAATCATGCATGTGGATACGTGTTGACTGTATCAAGCGAACGTTCTGTGTTCAATACTAAAAAAAATTTTAATTTTTTTTTCATTCCAATTTAAATTATTTTCATTTTATTTTCAATCATTTACATTTATTTTATATTTTCCTAATGAAACAGGAAGAAAAAAAAATCATTAATGCTATTTACCTTCAAAAAATAAATATTCAAGACTATGTGAATCAAATAAAGGAAGGATCAATGACTTGGGGTAAAAATGACCCCAGAAGTAACCCATTATGACAATGATCAAAATGGGGTCAAAAACCTTCCAAATCCCAAAATTGAACCCATTTTTGGATTCCTCACGAAAAGATATAAATAACCGTACATATGAATTTGGGGAAAAAAATATGATGCCAAAGTTGTTTTTTGGACCCCTCTACCACATCTAATTGGAATTTTGAGGAAAAAATTCCGAACGCTGGGGTTGTTTACTGGTTAAATATATTTCAATCAAGGGTATGGCATGCTATGTAAAATGTTGGCGAACAAAAACCTTACAAATTTGTCGGAATAAACCTGATAATTCTATGAACAAAATTACACAAATATGAGATAGTCAATACGAAATTTGTAATTCAGATTCTATCCGATAGATGGCGTTACGGTTTGGCACGTCGCCTTGTCTCCCATATACGTGCCATTCCCTTATAGATTTCAAGTTATAAATGGCTTATATTACGTTCTATGAAATAAAAATGCAAGGGGCGGAGATGAGTGAGGCTCAAAAAATATGGTTCTTCTTCAAAACAATACATACACAAGCATCATATGTACAGCAGAAGTCAATAAGTATTCATCACAGAAACTAAGCGAGTATGGCGTATACTTGTGATGTTTGTGAGTTAGCTGTATGTGTTGTTTGTGAAGAAGGAGCACATGTTTGAGTCTCACTCGTTTATATGTAAATTACGTTTATCGTTTCCAGGCCATGTTAAAATGAATTTCACAATAAGAAGAAGAGGAATAACTGCTTGGAATAAGTACGTAATTCAATTTTTGGATTCTCATTAAAAGTTATAGTTTTTATTGATGAATTAACCAATTTTCTTCACGGTAATAAAATGATTAAGTTTACTCACACTGGTGAATTGAATTCAACAATCTGTCTGAACTCCGGGTCAATCGATTGATCAAGTGTTGAAATATTCGGATCAAATCGATACAAAATGCACGTATATCGAAAATAGTCACAGCGGACGGCAGTTCGCGGATTACGAAACCACATTAGTGTGTTGAAAAGTCGAACTCGCTATATATACACGTAATATACGAAATCGAGACCTAGAAGGCCGTTGGCTCCGGTTGATGTATGGTTGGAAAGCCTTAGGGCCATAGATCAAGAAAAAATGTCAAAGTTTGAAAATCGGTCCAACCGTCTTCAAAATATGGTCCTTTCAAGAAAAGGGTCAAAATTCAGTTCTACGGCCATATATGGCACTAAATGAGGTCATTGACCTATAAAACATCGATATTCGGATTCTAGAGCTCAATACCTTTCCAACGACCATGTATGGCACTAAATGAGGTCATTGACCTATAAAACATCGATATTCGGATTCTAGAGCTCAATACCTTTCCAACGACCCCCTAACCATCAAAATCGATCAAACTTTTCGAAAAATTCAGCGTTTTAAAAATTTCATATGAATCTCTATGAAAAATCAAAATGTCTGTCTGTCTATGTGTGTACAATTTTGCGTAGTTGTTTTTGATCTTTTTGAAACTTTCTGTGATTAAAGTACACAAAAAACTAAGACTTTTTTGTGCCGGCAATTTTCGATTTGGCCGCCATGTTGGGCGTGGCCGACCTCCAAAAGTCACTTTTTGACTTTTGTACCCACGGTCACCGAGGCACATACACTTGACACATCCCGGACATATGCATATCGTTGGAAAGGTCTTGTAGTGAGCTATCGAATGATATCATTTGCGGTCCAAAAAATTTAATGTGGGTTGGCCAAATTGGCCAAAAACCAAAAAGTTACCATTCGGCCGGACACAAACCGTCCATTACCTCGAAAACAAGCTCAAGGATTTTTTTGAAAATTTCTCCGATTTTAGGCCCAAGACTAAGCTATAATATGCCGCATAGCTCATATCCCAGAAAATTCTTGTTTTCAAGATATGGCCCTCGATAGTGCAAAAATGGTCAAAAATGGCCATTTTTTCAAACAATCGCTGTGGCACCTATACTTGACTAACCCAGGGCATATGCATATTCGTTGGAAAGGTCTTATAGTAAGCTATCGAATGGTGCCAATTGCGACATAAAAATTTCAAGTTGAGGTGGCCAAATCGGTCAAAAATCAAAATTTGACCGTCTGGCCGGACAAATAACGGTCATTTTCTCGAAAAAGACTGCATAGGTTCTTTTCAAAAATTCATCAATTTTAGCCCCAAGTCAAAGATAAAAAAAAATCTGCATACCACACACCACTGCAAAAACCTGTGTTCCTCATTATGATCCATAATTTATATCATTTTGATCCAAAAAATAACCAAAAAATCCATATTTTCATTGTATTTGAAAAATATTCAAATTCATGGGTCTTGAATAACTTGGAAAATAGCGCTTACAAAACTATTGATATCAAATAAAAAACCTCTGTCGAGGTAGAGAACGAGTGACGAAACCAACATTTGAAACACAAAATTTCTGATATCAATTTTGTGACGAAAATAGTTGGTAGATATATTTTCTGTGAACTGTGAATATAAACTTAATATACATTTGTATATTCGGAATGTTGCTTCATTGCGTCAGTATGAACTCAAAGTAAAAAGAAGAGAATTTCTGCAACGTTTCGAATATACAAATGTATATTAAGTTTATATTCACAGTACACAGAAAATATATCTACCAACTATTTTCGTCACAAAATTGATATCAGAAATTTTGTGTTCCAAATGTTGGTTTCGTCACTCGTTCTCTACCTCGATAGAGGTTTTTTATTTGATATGAATTATCAGCAAAATCGTAGAATAATTGAAACGTTGAATTGGAATTTACACTGCTGTAGTTTAAATCGTAGGTAATAAAATGTAAGATTGATTTGTTGACTTGGTATTAACAACGCCAAACGTGTTCTCGGTATGAATGAAGCGGCGCTTATGACATTTCGAAAACAAATGAAATGAACGTCAAATGTCATAAGGTTCGATTCACATCAATAATACTAATTCAATATTTAGATATTAGATAATTTTTGCTTTAAAGAGTTTTTTGCTTCAATCGATGCTCTTTAAATTGAAACACGCCATTTTTTAATTACAGATATGGGAAACACTCTATTGTACATAGTACATTTTCATTCGATTCAAAGTCAATGTACCCGGTTGACAATGGGTATGCTCGTCGATGATGTCGTCTAGTTGATGTTCTCGTCGTTTCTGGTGATGAAATGCGTGTTAATTGAAGTGGTTCAATTGTTTTATTTTCAATTCCATTGAATATATCCACTACACGATACTCGTGCGCCGAACGAATCGAGTGTAAAAAATTTACTGTTTCCATCCACCACTTTTTCGCACGTAATGCTTTAAATCGCATAGATGCCATATATGATGATTCAATCCACTTAAATAAGCATATGAAAGTATTCCAAAAACAAATTCTAATTAAATGAAATGAAAATTTTGAGTTGTATGTCACCAGCTACACCGAGTATTTGAGCTTGAATCATACATGGGCACGCTTGAAATTTTAGAGGGGGGTAAACGTGAAAATTTGAATTTCCGGAGGAGGGGGGTCAAATTGATGAAAATTCTGGTAGGGGGTCAAATCGGATTATTTTATGTTGTATTACGAAAGTGGTCTGAAAAATGAATACGTCGAAACAAATCATTTTTGTAAAACACTTTTGTCAACAATATGCACGAAAATGGCAACAAAATTTTTATCATTTACATCACCCAATTGAATAGATAAACCATTTTCATCATATCCAACATTTTCTTTTTGTTTAGACATAAACAGAAGAAAAAGTTGCTATAGGGGACATAATCAACTCTTGGGGAGTTAAAGTCTGAAAACGTTAGAGGGAGGAAATCCGGACGTCATCAAGTCCAGGTCGGGGTTAGATCCCGAAATCTCCTCCCGGTGCGCATGTATGGCTTGAATACAGTCGGTGAGAATAATTGGCCTTTTAAATGTAATTCAGGTAACATGTAAAATTTTACTCTTTCGACAATTGCCTAGCTACCTCTCTATTTATCCATTCCTCCTGTCGTTTGTGGTGTTGATAACTATACTCACAAAGACGTGGAAAAAATAGTATTAGTTTATGATCATGTGATTGTTTCTGCACATTGTCGGAACGGATGAGAGACGAGTGAGTGTGCTGTGACAGACGGTCGACCTTTTGTCAGTTTTAATAGAAGAATTTACATTTTGACTCGTTTTCAATTTTGCTTAAAACTAAATCAAAACACTTACAAGCAATTCAATTTCTTCGCTTCGTTTTCGTTTAATTTTTACCGGTTGAATGCTGACATGTTCTTCCTTTTTGGTGCTTCGGCTTTGAATTCGTGCACGCTCTTTTTTTGGATTTGTATCGCCAAAAAGTCCACGTTTTTCAGCCATTAAAATTAAGTGCTTTTCATCTAAACGTGTTATTTTCTTTCTTTTGATTAGTGACAAAAAACACCCCGACGATTTTGCGTCGATGCATTTATTTTGATACATACACATATCGGGAATGTCAATTGATTCGAAAATATCGGTTTTCGGAACCTTCATCAGTGAAATGGGCATTGCATAATTTGATTTATAAAAAAATTATTTAAAAAAGAACGTTTGACCTAACCTTAATATGACTATATTCATCATCACAGTTTGAGTTTTCCAGAATTTCGCTGCCACTTTCGCTTTCATCCGAAGACGATTCCGATTCGGGTGCATTTTTTGTTTCATCTTCTTTTGATTTGGACTTCTTTTTGCTCGATGGAATACCTTGTAATTTCTCCAATTGTTCAGCATTCAATCCATCCTGTTCGGCAAGTGCTTCAAGTCTTTTTTTCTCTTTATACATTTTTACATGACGTGCATGCGCCGCTCGATTCACCGATTCAATTGCCAAATTTACCATAACTTTATTTTCCGTTTCAACCATTGAATGTGTTCCATATAAAATAAACTGCACTTGTGGCCGTGACATTGCCAACCGTAATGATTCACGTTGCTCTTCTAATATTTTTGCCACGCGCTCTTTTCCACTTTCGCTCATTTCAGATTCGGTCAACACTTCTAACATTGATAAGTCACCACCTCGGCTACATATCAAATCAATTGGATCATTTATTGCACTGTACGAATTTGGGGTGGTAATAAAGACGCCAACCACTTTCTCCAAAATCGTTGATTGAATTGGCATTTGACAAAAGTTTTCCGATCGCATGCGAATATTACTAATTTCCAATTTATGCATATAATCATTATACTCGTGTAAACGTTGGCCGGCACCAAAGATGATGATATCATTAACCCGATAGTTTCCTTGAAATAATCCACCCAAGTACGCAATTGATCGTTGTGATGATAGATGTGTTTGTATCACGTCACCTTCGACTTCAAAATACTCAAGAAGACGGGAAAAAATTGCTGGACCTAACGTGAATGCACGATCCTTTATTTTGGCGGAGCAAAGAAATTTTGAATCGTTAAGTTTTAATCAGAGCTGTTATTGGCACCGGAGAGATGCGGCTACTAGTGAGTGTTTACAGTTATTCCATGTATATATTTTTTCAAGTACCGCATCTGAATATAAGAAACAGCAGCACTTATAAGAAAAGTACCCGCACCTTTCCGGTGCTTTGAATATATCTAGTTTCAATATAAAATAATCATAATCATTTGCAATTTTCAGTAACCTGCATAATAAATAGATTTTCCTTCATTAGTACACTTTTGGCGAATTCGCTTCGATCCAATGGAATGCATGACAGAAATAGTGGACATAATTTGTCAAATTTAAAGTAAAGTTGCTTAAGCGGTACTTCGCCATTCTCTGCCTCTTCAGATTCAAGAAAACCAATTTTTCGAAAAGATTCGATTGCCTCAGCCTTTGTTCTAGAAATAAACGTTTTGTTATTTTGTTCTTTTTCTAACAATGTTCTAGAAAATGTTGAAGATTATTTTTACGGTAATTTGAAAGGATTAATCCAACCGGTAACAATAGGATTTGCCGTTGCAATCGCAACTTTATCATTGTCTTGTAAATGTGGTGGCAACAATTCCATCAAATTCAATGCACTGTTTTTGATGCGAAGTCGTGATATCGATGCCGCCAAATGTATGCGATTATTCCAAATATTATCATGGATGACTAATAAGTGGAGTGAACATAAATGTAAAATGTTCTTTGTATATATTAGTCTTTGTGTCACCTTGTAAATCCGACTTATGATAAAGTTCTTTTTCTCTCACTCGCTCCTTTGGATCACGTCGCAGGAAGTGACGCAAGTGTAAATCGAATAATAGCAACCAAACACGATTCTGATCATCTCGAAGCTGTAAAAAGTGCAAGAAAACATACAACGCGAATTATTAATATGTTATGTGAATAGACATTTGCTGCAGTTCAAAAATTAATTTGCGTCATTGTGAAGTTAAAGTTTTTTCTTACAAACTAGTTGTTTGCTAAGGTTTTAATTCTTTCCGGAAAAAAACTAACCAAAAACAATCAGCTGTTGTCTTGATTGATTTTTCTCGAGACACATACACGCATAAAAAATAAGTAATAAAATAAATGTTCTCTAAAAGAACATTCGTGTCAACTAAAGATTTACTTTACACTTCCAGAATTCCATTATAATTTTTGTTTTGTTCAATTTGACATTTACTGCCGTCTTTTAACCCAATTCATTTTAAACTCTGATGCGAAAATTGAATGAAATGAAAAACCATTCCACTCCGTTTCGTTTTGTTGTTTATTGTTAATTTTGAATATACTGACAAAAAGCGTGTTGCGTGCATGCATCAAAAATAATGGTGTGTGGCTGTTGTTCATGTATTCAGTGTTCATTTAATCAAATGTGTCCGTGGGAATAAAAGCGGGAATACAGCGACGAAATTTGAAATATGCACGCTAAAAAAGTGAAATCTGAAGAATACAACACAGATTTTTGTCTAACATAGAACATATGAATCGTTGCGGCGAAAGAGTAGCTCTTCATGTTGCAGTATTATTTGGAGAAAAATAAGAGCTACTGTTTCGCCGCAACGATTCATATATAGAATTTGTGTTTCAATCATTTTATTCAGATACATTTCAACGTGATGCATGAACGTTTGTTACATTTTTCAGTTTTCATTATTGTTTTTTCTATACCTTATATACACGCACACACTGTTGCTGCAAATGTTGTATGTAAGATATGAAGAGAATGAAAATTTTTGAGAGTGAATGTATTTTGGTCATCGATTTCAGTTTTGTGTTGACGATTTTTATTGTGCAGTTGTGTTTCAATAGAATGTTCTTTGTAAACAGAATGCCATGCGTTGAGAAATTACATGTAAGGGTGAGCGAGATAGCATTGAACTACGATTTGGGTGACAGAAATAGCATATTTTTACATTCGGTCGCACCAGATGATATAGACCATTTAGCTGTGCATAAGAATTGAGAAAAAAATCTGATTTTTTTTTCACTTTTTGTGCTCTATACCGAGTCTCCGAGAGTTTCATACAAGCCTCCCATATAGATGATGAAAAATCGAGAAAAATGAAAAAAATAATTAAATTTCTTTTCTTCGATTTACAAATACCACTCAATTTTCTGTATCATCTGGTGAAATCAGAATAAAAAACTCGTATTCTTTATCATCTAAATCACGATTGGCATTCGGTCACTATTCAATAGGTGTTACATGGGAAGTTTATATGAAACTTTCGGAGACTCGGTATAGAGCACTCAAAAAGTGAAAAAACTCCAGATCGTGATTTGGATGATAAATACAGAAAATTGAAAGTCGATACAATTGAATTGTAAATCGAAGAAAAAAAAATTATTTTTTTTTTCATTTTTCGCGTTTTTATACCATCTACATGGGAGGCTTGTATGAAACACACGGAAGACCGCTGAAATGTCAAATACAAAATATGTACAGACGTACGATAGTGCCATTTCGGCGATCTTCCGTGTGTTTCCATATCTTACATACAACATTTGTAGCAACAGTGTGTGCGTGTATATAAGGTATAGAAAAAACAATAATTAAAACTGAAAAATGTAACAAACGTTCATGCATCACGTTGAAATGTATCTGAATAAAATGATTGAAACACAAATTCTATATATGTTCTATGTTAGGCAAAAATGTGTGTTGTATTCTTCAGATTTCACTTTTTTAGTGTGCATATTTCAAATTTCGTCGCTGTATTCCCGCTTTTATTTCCTCCGAATCAAATGCTTAACTAACCTGTGGATAATGTTGAAAAAATTTTACATCATGCAAGGCTTGATTCAGGATATGCTTATCTGTCTCAATGAAAACCGATACAAAAGTTAATTCAACGATTCAATCAACCGATACACTGTATCCATAAAATGTATGCAAATAATGAATATCTACTATTTATTTATATTATGTTGTAATTCAACTTTTGTCGAATAAAATTATGTTTCGTCGTAAATTGTGAATATACTGTGAATTCGTTTTCCACTCGACTTTTCAATTATAATTTTATGGGCAACTATTTTACCAATGAAATATTGGTATCGATATTAAACGCTTTTTGGGGTGATAAAAAATCGTTTTTAGGTCATATAAATAGGTACACAAATAGGTGATTCATCTTCATGTGTTTCGTGTCATTTTGCAATAAAATCAATTGATTCGTGACAAACGGGTTGAATCGATTTCAAACTATTATAATAACAAATCGACTTGAAAATCATACGGATCAGCAATAAGTTCTATTTAAATAATATTACATAGATATTATATCGTAGAACAACTGCCGTGAAACGACTGAAGACTTGATTTTTTAACTGTAACGAAATTGAGAACGTCAAATTGGAGTACGAAAGAGGGGGAATAACAAACAAAATCTGAATATTTTTAGAAAATACATCAACCAATTGCATGCAATTGGATTGCACAACTGAAATGAAAATTGAAGTACCTATGAGAATGACGTTCATTAAGAATTTTTCTTTTTTTCCAGAACTTACACCGATAAACATCATAGATCATTGAATAAACTCTGCGCATTTCGTGCTCATCTCTGAAATGACATGGAAGTGGTGGCTTCCGCAACAGTTTACCAGCATTTGTCAAATCGTTGAGATTCCAAGCTGAAAGCATGTCCATACTAACAAAATCCATTGGATCATCGACCACACACTTTTTTCGATTCAACGACAAACCCGAAGCTGGAGTTGATAATGGCGAAATAATCATTAGATCTGGATCCCATTGTTGTTTGATTTTTTTCGCTACCACTTCCTCTAACGGTCTAAATAATATCATACATTTCAAAATCAATATAAATTTATAAATATACTGTATTTTTTGTCGGTAGTTTATAAGAGTATATTCTAAAAACTTACATTCCGCTGTCAATTAAATCATTAATACCCTTTTGTACGGCCAGCAAACGATAATAAACACGTTCTTGGTAATCGTTGTCTGTTGGCAATGGTATAAAATCTTGCGTTAAAACCCCATCTTTGGCACGTTTTAATTCTTCTCTGTGCAGTATATTCGCTAGGATTTTTGGATATATTGCAAATATATCTGCACGGCTTATAACGAACAAATCGCTCATCTTATCGCTTTTTTCACTTCTTCACCTAGTTCAGTTGAATTGCAACTGAAATATTTGCATATCATCCATTCTAATTTGAAATCTCGATTTAAGAAATAAATTCGGTTTTAAAATAAAACAAATGTACGGCAACAAAATTTAACTCGAATGGATGATTCTTACCGATTCCATTGTGAATTGATATTGCTTTGACGGTTGATTTCGATTTAAGCCTTTGCATTTTCATTTTCGATCCACATTCTGTGCTTTTTTCCCTTCTTTTCGTTGATACATATTATATTCCTTGCCACTGCCACTGCGACTGCTATGATGATAGTTCAGTCTGTGCACGCGACCACATCACCATGCATATTTTATTTAAATAAAAAAAGAAGACGAAACGAAAAATATGAATAACACATTTTTATGCCATCGTCAAATATTATCAGTGTCTCGAATCCGATACCACAATTGACATTTGTGAGAAAAAACAGACATTTGAAAAGTAGCGCAACCATTTTCGAATGTTGCTATTTATTCAAATTCAATTTTTTTAAATAAATAAGCAAACAAACTTGATCTTATTTGGTCGAATTTGAGCAGAAAATCAAACCATTCCGCAATATCAATACAACAATAGAGAAATTGAAAAATTTAAATTGCGCGCGTTTTTATGTCGAAGTAAAATGAGGGCGCACACGAGCGCTATCTAGGCAATTTGGTCGTATATTAAACGTTTGACAGAATAGTGACACGGGTGTTAAACGAAAGCAAAAGAGAAAGAAATTTCATGTATATCGATATGCAACAAAAACATTGTGATTTGATATCTATCATTGATTTTCGGTTGTAATTAATTGGTATGAATATATTGGTGACTTTTAAGTTTTGAACGTGAAATTGTTTCTCATAATTGTCACTTTCTCGATTGCAAGCAAAAGTTTGAGCCCCATTTCACCTAATATATACGATTAAAAACTATCGGAGAATTTCACAAAATATACTGTAGTCTATTTTATATTTCCTTTCACAACGACACACAGATAGAAAATTGTCGTGTTTTTAGCCCAATATTTATTGTGTTTGTGCATTTTCCCGAGCGTTATTGAATGTACGTTATTGAATGTAAATTTACGACACAACATTTTGTAAGTTTGAAATTGTAATAAATCCTGCAATACATTCACAATGTCCGATAGTTCAAAAGCAGAGAAAATTGCTGCAGCTCGAAAAAAGGTGAACTTTTATTTTATTTTCTTTCAATTTTCAACGAATTTGAATCATGAACATGAAAAACAAAATTAATTGATTGCCGTGTTTTAAATATAATACGTAGCGCTTTAAAAAAGAGCTACGTTGCTGCATTGTGACACGTCAATACTGTACCACTAATAATATCGTCCACACTATGTGTAGTATTTTTTAAATTGTCAATTAATGTCATTATAATGTTTTCCTCTTCTTTTCTTATGCTCAATTCTCATTTAGCTGAAGCAATTTCAATCGAAAGCAAAAACAGAAACAGCATCCAATAGTACGGTGACTTCGTGTGGAATCGGATCAAGTGTAAATACTAATGGAACTGCAACATGTATTGAGCATACACAAAATGACAATGCAATGATAGCAATTCAGCCGCAACAAATTAACATGCAATTTGAGGCCGTTGATCCCGTTCAATTCGATTCAACCAAATTATTTGATCAACATATACCGGCCAGTGAAAATATGATTGGTTCTCAATCTGAAATGGCATTAAATATTACTGCAACACCGGCTATAAATACCAATGCCAATTTGCCGCAACAATCACAAACATCGCTGGCAATACAAACAACATTTCCACATTTTTCAAATGTTAGCCAAATAGCATCATCGCAGCCGCTGACAACTTCTTTTTCAATACAACAACCAAATCTAGAGAGCAATCCGGTTAAAAATTGTGTTTCAGATTTGTCACATTTAGCCGAACAATGTAATCAAGAGCTAAATAATTTATTGCAAGTAGAAAAGGTGCGTAATCATGAGCTTAGTGTAAAAGTGACCCAACAACATTCCACAATCGAAGAATTGAGCAATGAATTGAATCAACTACGTAAAAACAGTGGCACAATTCAAGAATTACAACAACAAGTTAATGCTCACATACAAACCGTTAATATTTTGGTGGGTGAAAAATCCGATTTAAGCGCAAAACTCAACGAATTTGAATCGGAATGTGTCGAATTAAAGGGTCGTCTGAAGGCATCAAGGCACCGGGTGTCTGAATTGGAAAAGGATTTAAATACAATGACCCAATCGCATCAAAAATATGATGGATCACAACAGGCACTGTGCACGGAACTCGAAACCATTCAAGAAGATAATAAACGTTTTAAGCGGTTGCATCAAGAGACATGCGATGAAAATACCGAAATTCAATATCAACTTGCCATCAAGACAAAGGAAATTGATGAATTGAAAAATGTCATCAGTGCAAAATGTAGTGAACTTGAAATGGTACATGTTCGTCTTGAGCAATTGACCGGCGGTGATTTAACACAATCAAATGAAACATCAGCCGTTGAACAAAATCATAAAGATCAACGAATTTTGGATTCAGAACGCCAAATTATTGAACTACAAAATATGATTTCGGAATTGACAAGTGACCGTGATCGTACTCAACAACAATATCAATCATATGTACAACATTTAACAAATGAAACGACATCGATGAATCAACGCATTCAAGAGCTCACCAAAACCAATGAAAAACTTACCAAACGAGAAGAATCGCTAGTTAATCACGTCCAAGAATTGGAAAAACAAATTCAAAAGCAACTCAGCACTCAACGGAGATTGGCCGCTTTACGTGATAATGACGACAAACAAAAGGCAGATGATAAGATGAACAAAGATAATGCATTAAATGATATTTCACACAATAATGACGAATTGAGTACATTACGAAAAAAATTGAATGCAATTGAAAAGGAAAAATTCGATTTAAATGTAAGTCGATTTCAAAAGTAATATAGTGGTAAGTAATTATGTTCAAAATGGGTATATTTTAGGTACTCTTGGAAGAATATAACACGCAGAAGCTATCATTGCAACAACATTTATTGGAAAAAGATGCCAAACTAACGGAAATTGAATCGGAGTTAGATTATTTACGAACCGAGCGACCAGACACATCTAATTTATTGGCCACGATTGAAAGTGACAAAGTTGCCGCCTCACGAGCAATGACCCAAAATCAAGAACTGAGAAAACAACTCGAAGAAATGCAACAAGCGTTCGTGCAAGTGGTCAGTTTATTTTTAGAAATCTGACCTCGCAAAATACTGAAATTTGTATATGTAGTGTCTAAACATAGTAGTTTAAAAAAAATGCTTTTTTTACTGTTATTTTGTGTAATCTATGTTGTTTTTTTTATTTGAATTACAATTGATTTAATTTTATGTCCATTCCAGAGTAACCAAAAATTGGAATTAACGTCCCAATTGCAGAGTGAAGAGTATATGAATCGTGATATTCGAAATCGTTTTGGTGATTTGGAGTCTGAATTGAAATCGATCAAAGAGAAATTGCATTTTAAAGATGAAGAAATGATTCGATTGACCCATGAAAATTCGCAATTCGGTGCAAAAATACAAGAACTATCGAAACGTTTGAACAGCAGCAGCAATGATGGTGTACGGCAACTGACCGAATTACAAAAGAAATTGCACTCGACAAAAAAGGAAATTAAAAAATTACGGACTAAATTGAAAGAAGTGGCTCCGACCACTGAGGTTGATGAATTGCCAAAAAATGGAGATGAAAATGGGCAAGTGGTTGAGATCACTTCTAAGTGTGACGTAGAAAACGAACACAAACATGATCATGACGGAGAATATCATCACAGTGAACATCATCTTGACCATGGCCATGATCACAACGAAGATGACGATGAATGTAAATCGGTCGAAGCTTTGGATAATTCCGATGTGGTGTCCGTAACATCAACTATAAATATTGCAACAAATGAAGCAATGGACAAACTTCAAGAACGTTTCAAACGAACAATGAATGAAATTGCTGATTTGACGGAAGAAAAACAACGTCTTGAACATCTGGTAACACAATTACAAAGTGAAACCGAAACAATTGGTGAATATATTGCACTATATCAAACGCAACGACGCCTATTGAAACAACGTGAAATTGAGAAAGATATTCAATTGAATCGAATTGCAGCCGATCGCGAAGGCATGAAAGATAAATTACGTCAATTGAATGAATTGGTTGAACTATTGATGATTCAAAAGGGTTTTAATAATGCCAAGGAAATTATTACGCAATTGAATACAACAAATAATAATGGCGAAAAAGTTCCTGAAAATACCGAAACACCGACGGTGATAAATGGTTCATCGACGCCGACAATTATGGATTGTGAGAACATTCCACAGAATGTTCAACCTATGCAAAATAACTGTCATGAACACGATCATCATTTGCCTGAAAATGATCTACGTAGTCATATTATTCAATCGCATCACGATACAAATACCCGTGAAACGGCTACCAAAATTATCAACCTTTTAACTGATATTAAGGATACAAATTTGCGACAAGATTACACAGTAGTTTCTAACAGTGTAGATCATTGTTCGTGTTGTTCCGGTAAATTGGAAGTCGTGTGAAATTGAATGCAAAATAAATAAATAATAAGAACACAAACATTCATATTGAAATAATCGAATTCAGATATCCAATGTTTTTTCATATTTGTTAAACTAAATAAATGATAATAATAATGATATACGGAATATTCCTTTTTCGGGAGATAAAAAATTTTGTTCGAATATTTTATATGAAATTGTAAACGGATTTTGCGTTTATTTCTTGATTTATTAGATTTTTCGTTGGTTTTATATTTGTATGTATTTGTATCCTTTTAAAGGTGAAAATTTTATAAGCAAGCGCCACGACGATTTGTCGATCCATAAGAAATAAAGAAAGTATCAAAAATAAAAAAGCCTGGCTTTTATTACATCATTATTTATACTCTTTCACTTACAAAAATCAATAATTTTATTATGAATTATTAAACTATTATTTAAAAAAAATCACAAAACTTACTACTAATGTTACTTCACACAGAGAAGTAATACAATGAAAACTAGATGGCTTGTCGTATAAAATTTGGAACTGGTTGACACTCCGTATAAAATTGTATTTGTCTTCGTTTATGCTTTGAAGAAGATCCGCATAAAAGAGAATACACAAAAATGATGTTTGGTATGAAATTAGATGGACAAATACAATTTTTTACGGAGTGTTCCGAATTTTATACAACACCAAATCTGGTTTTTATAAATAATTAAATATTTTAATTGTCGTTTATTTTTACGGCCTAACTTATAAATTATGTTCAGTAATAGTTTTGAATGTGTAACGTACACCACTATATAAAGTCATGTACATGAAAAAACATTTGTTGTGGCAAATTCATCCATTATCGGGCATATGTTGACGGTCAATATTGGGGTCGGATTTGAGTGTAGTTTCAGTCATTTTCAACGTCGCAATGGAAAGAAAAAAGAGAAAAAATAAACTCAGTTACTAAGTATGAATCAACATCAATATACTATCGGTTCAGTTCAATAAATGATACTCACCTACGGGTTATTTTATATACCGAACTGCCCGTACTTCGGTCAAGGCCACAAAACTCAAGCCCAGCACAGTAACAAAACGTTACAATAATATTATTTAAAAAGAAATCTTAATGCTACATGTAATTAAAACTGGTCGTCATCGGAAACATCGAGAACATAAACGTAGTCCTCATCGTCACTGGAATCCTCATCGTCAGCTGCTTGATTTTGTACGGCAGCATTTTGATTCTGTGGTCTCAATAGTTGCGGATGAATGTCCAATCCCAACACCGTACAAAGACCTAAAAACAAAATCGTAAACAACAAATTGTTAGCCAAAACATTCTTAAACATTTTTAATTTCAGTGATATTTTTTCACCTTTGTACATGATGTTCTTGGCTGCAACGATATCCCGGTGCCAAACAGTTTTCAATTGAAATGGAGCTTGATCATCTTTCCAAATGCCAGTGTTTAGTTGCCAGTTTTTGAAACATACTTGAAGTTTTGACACTAAACCATCTGAATCCATTGGAATATGATCTGGGTTGACTGCATTCAATCGATTAACAAAATCAACTGCATATTTACGCAATTGTTGGTACACTCGGTTGCTTTTCATGGTGATAATGACGTTCGGTAAATTCCATTGCGATGACTCATCTTCACTTGGAATACAATGCTGACAAACTTTGTATCGATCGCTTTTGGTTCGTCGATCGAATGGCCGGAAACATTTTGCACAAGTTTGCGATGTATTGTATTCGTCGACCAATCGTACAATACAATTTCCCAACTTCTTAAAACTGTTCAATAGTCGTCGTAATCCCGGGCATCGCAATCGCTTTTTAATACCAATTGGTGAGTTTGGAGCTATTTGAGCTGCACCAATAAAAACGAGCGCCGACTTTTTTTTCGTCAGTGATGCCGCGATTTTGTCACTGGCCCGATTTTCTTCGATGTATTTATCGAGACGGAGTCGAATAAACTTTCTTGTTGTGTACACCGCCATAGCTGGTTTCATCATTTTCACATAATAAGCGATGTAACACATCCAATGTGAACGTCCTTTCGGCGATGGAAAAAATGCATAGCGTTTATAGTCGAGCTCCCGTTGTTTTTGCAACAATTCAGTCCATTGATCGGATTTACGCTTGCGTTTGCCATATTTCGCTTTGAAATGGTATTTTGGACCATCAATTGTGATGTTTTCCTGAGATTTACGAACAAAAAATCATAGAAGTAAACAAATGATAAATAAAGAATGAATTTATTGTTTCTTACCTCGTTGCCGGATCGAACGTGTTTGCGAACTGTGGCGTTCCATGTACGAACTCCTGGATCGATTCCAAGCACATAATCAAACTCAAAATTATTGTACTTCTCTTTGATGGTGTTGTTATCAAGTTCTGGTGTATTGCGTTCAGGCTTCACGAAACATAACGAAACTGCCACACTATCGGTTGCCACAGCAAAATCGAATTCCTTACCATTTCCAAGTTTCGAAATTTTTGGCATGTCAAATATTAAATTCCAATAGAAAGCTGGATTGCTATCGTATTCAGTTTTTTCAATGTTTATTGGCTGACCGCGTTTTCCTTTTGCCAATTTCAATGCTCCAAATTTGCGCGCAATCAAATAAAAAAGATGGATATCGATGCGGATATGTTTCATATCGAAATCGTGGATTGGAACTACTAAAAAATTCTTTATTTTTGGCGGGAGTGGAGTGGTCGGCATGACATTGTTGTTCGGATCGCGTCGATATTGGAACCAGCGTTGTTTCAACATTTCATATTTCGCGTGAAAATCGAAAATTTGTCGCTGAATGTTTATAAATATTGGAATGGTTTGGAACCAGCGATCACGAATGAGATTCTGAAAGTGTACATTGATTGGCAATCCAATGCCTGCTGCTTCGTTTAATAGAAGATCGATGTTCGCGTTTCTCTCGACTCTACTTTGGAACATTACGATCTTCGTCGCACGTTTTACATCCAATTCAGTGATGAGATTTCCTTGTCGATTCAAATTCAGTTCGTAGCGCTTTAGTGTGAAAAATTTCTTGATGCGACTGAATGCCCATACTTTGATGTTATTTTTCACGTTTGTTATGTACTGAGTGATGAGATGATTGAATGCGTTCCCCATGCCCTCGCGAGCTGGCCAATTTTCTGGACGAAGAAAATCAGGACATGCTTGCTCCACAGTTCGTCGAAATGCAAGCGGTAATTTGTGGTAATTTTCTTGTAATACCGAGGTGAAACATTCACCAATTACACCATTCACGTATTTATTGAATTCATCATTCGTGTATTCATCGGATTCACCTTTAAAAAATCGAACATTTTCATCGTCAAAGGCTTTGTTTGCTTTGAACAAAAACAGTAATGACGCCAGAGTCGTAATCATTGTGGCCGAAAGGCACCAGTATGTGACCTGATCGATGAATGGTGCACGATACTCTTCCCGCAGCACTTGATTTAGAGTCATCTTCAACGACGTACTGCGCCCATTCTTGGCTCTCTTTCTTCTCATCGTGACAGATCTATTGTACAAAAATTAAAGAAAAAAATACATCAAATATAGCATAGATCACAAACACAATAAGATATAAACACTTCTATCACAAATTAAATGAAACAGTAATGAAGAGCGCATTATAAATATCACCTCTTACCTCAACAAAGTGACTCTGTATTCTAAATCGAATGATGAAATTTATTTCCAACGTGACATCAAATATTTTGCCGATCGAAATGTTGTTGGAATATTCACAGTTAATTTTATCAACACTCTGTTATTTCGAAATTAAAACAAAGACAGTCACAAAACCAACTGTGAATATATCCATTCCACAGGGAACAGCATTCTGAACACACAAAATCGTTTTTGAAATGACAATAAAACCAATTGATCGCCCAAACCACGCTTCAAACACTCTCATATAATTCTCAAGAAATCCTGTTGAAAACAAAACAAAATTTTATTGTAAACAAAATCGGTTGGTGCAAAAGTTGTTTATACTAACTACTGGATTTGGTTTGACACATATACACCGCGCGGATAGAAAAATGTCAGAAAGATGTCAGTTGCATTTCGAAAATTCAAAATAATAATTCCACAAATAAAAAAAAATGAATGCATTAAATGACGTATAAAAGAGTTCTCCTGCAGAGTTTTATTTATTTCTTTTCGAATAAATTGTTTATTTTTTAATTTGAGCGTAAGATTTGTATTTTCAATATAAAACTTAATGTGTTGGGTTGTGTTCACATTATGTTGTCAAATGAAATATTATTGGAAGTGAAAGAAACAAGTGGATCCATTCCATTGGAATTCGTGGAAACTATGCATATAATCTCCGTTCCATTTGACACGAAAATGACCACCAGAATGGGCCAAAACGTTACATTTTTCAACGTTAGAATGTACTAAAAACATTACAAATTTGTTTGCTGGGGTAGCCTCCACATGGGAAATACAAAATAAACAAAAATAAACATAGCGTTGCCGAACTAATGAAATAATAATAAATATTCTGAACAGCATCGAAAAATGTACATTAGAGTGTTTCTCATATCTATAATTAAAAAAATGGTATTTTTCAATTTAAAGAGCATAAAATTCTGTTTTAAGTCGTACCATTAATGTAAAGCACCGATTGATATTGACACTTCCCGAAGCAAAAAACTCTTTAAAGCAAAAATTGTCTAAGGTCTTAATATTGAATTAGTATTATTGATGTGAACCGAGCCTTATGACATTTGACGATCATTTCATTGGTTTTCGAAATGTCATAAACGCCGCTTCATTCATACCGAGAACACATTATTTTCGATATACGTGCATTTTGTATCGATTTGATCCGAACTTTCCACACTTGATCAATCGATTGACAAATTGTTGAATTCAAGTCACCAGTGTGAGTAAACTTAATCATTTTATTACCGTGAAAAATATTGGTTAATTCATCAATAAAAAATATTATTTTTAATGAAAAATCAAAAATTGAATTACGTGCTTACGTGCAGTTCTTATTGTGAAATTGATTTTTATTTCATAGCACGTAATATAAGCCATCTATAACGTGAAATATATTTAAGT